CATGTTCACCAAAATAACACGAACGATGACGACGCCCTTTTGGAATGGCCCTGGCGTGATTTCAAATTAGCCCCGATTAGAGGAGGAACCATTCAGCTAAAAAAAAATCCCCCAGCAGACGAAGGCCAGCAGCCCCATAGAAAGTTGCTATTGTGCAGCGTCAGCGGGTTTCATCCAGGCTCAAGCCAGAGAAGAGGGAGGCGTCCAGTAATGTGCTGCGGCTGGGCCAATCTCGCGCTTAACACAAGTGTCTAAATTTGGAGAGATGTCAGCACTCGTACAGGAGGGTGATAGAGCCATGGCTTTCTATAAAGGGAGGGGAGATGGATAGTTGCTCTCTGTATGCTATGATGCCCTGAATGGAGGAGAATGACACAAAGAGGACTGTCTACACAACATATAGCTGATTCCCCTCCTGGTTATTAAGGAGCTGTCCATGTCGCTGTAATCTTTAACCCTCAGTGATGTGAACTGATTAAGCAGCGCTGCTAAATCAGATCAAACACACCGGACTAAAACAATGCAATGGCTCTATGAGAGATCTTAATACGTGAATGACAATACTGAATCAATCAATTGATATCATGACTGATGGTTAGCAGGTCATTGATTTGCCATGATCCCAATTAATCTTTAAAGAGAAGTGCCATCTCTTGGTGGTTCGTGTGTGGGCGAGGCTGTCCCAAGCCACTGAGTGACAATCCAGGATTTATTGGTGAAAAGGTACAAATGGAAAGAAACCTGAGCAGTCTATCCATTGACTAGTTGGTGCAGTAAAATCAACAGAGGGCAATGGAATGACACTGTTTGTATATTCAGCTTCATATCAATGCGTTTTAAAGATCTATCATGGTGTGGGGTGAGTGGTACAATCAAACAAATGCATGTGTACATATAGATTGATTCTTTCCTTTATTGTGTTCAGCTGGTGCAATGGAACATAGAGCAAGCCCCATGCCGCCCCATCTCCACTGACCCATCTGTGTCTTTCATTGCTCTCCCACACACGTGTCTCTGCTGCACACAGGCGACTGTGAAGTGACTTATACTTTTAAAGTTACCTGCAGCCAGGGGAAAGGCTGTCAATGGCTCAATTAGTTTTGAAGATCTTGGAATGTTGTTCCTTTGCATTCCCACCAGCAAATACAACACTTGCAATAAATAATTGCACATTGAGGACATGATACACAACCGTCATGCTGTGATTTACATAAAGCTCCACAACTATGTCTGCTTCCACTTCTGACTGTGTTAGGACAAGGTGGAAAGACTTGTGCTAGCCTCTATTGGAGGAGTCTACAAGTTCAATACGGAAAAGCAAATGCGAGCCTTTGAAATGCTACAGCTGGAAAGGGCATTTTCTAACGCGTCAAATATATCTGTGCTATTCATGTTCTCTTCTGTGGCGTACACCTGTGTTGCAACAATATCACCTAATTATAAGATAATACACAAATCAAAACCTCGAGGTGCTTCCAAAGTCGTTAACTGAGCGTTGAAGTTTTCACAGAGCGCACAAAAGACGGGGTTATTTGAGGCAGACTTGGCCGTTTCGTGCAGCTATCTTTAAAAGTGCATCCAATCCTTTTGCATCAAACCCGCGAGTGATTAGAACCAGCCCCATTTTAAAGCACACTAATTACTCATTCACACTTACTGTCTTGATTGTGCAGGCCCCATAAAATTAGTCTGCCATAAACCTTTCAGGAACTATCTCTTTGAACCCCAACTTGAGTACAGCAAAGGTCTTTGAGTGTATGCTGTGCCCGGGTGCCGGCTGAAGCAATATAACGACTGCTGTGTACCGAGGCTCGGACTATTGGTATGACAGAATCGAATTTCCTGGATGATTCCCATAATATCTGCCAATTCATGACCTTTCAATAATTGCATATGGAAGACATCACGTGTCTGCAGACCTATATGGTAGGTGTGTGATGGTCGACACTTCTTATTATTCGATATTCCTATTTGCGCCATTCCCTCATAGACTCGGTTTAACACACTGCTATTGCTTTCTTGACAAACAACATATAGAAATTTAGAATGATTTACTTTTCTGTTGTAGACACAAGTAAACAACGTGCATAAGAGGATGTTAAGAATATATGTACTCGCCCCATCAAGGCAGGTATTCAAATCTGCCTGAAACCGGTGGCTTTACGCTCTTGCCAACAGTGACTCACACTGAGTAACAGAGGAGCTGATGTCAGTGCGCGCCTTTCATAACAGATAATGAATAAAGTAATTTTTTTACAAGGGCAAGGTGCCACAGCAACTGTCTTAAACTGTCTTCACTATTCCATTTTGTGGCAATGTAGCAATAGGGATGTGCCAGCAAAATGACCATGATCAAATCGAATCGGATAGCCCACCTGGGACCTGGCGAATATTAAACGTGCTTATTCGCCGCACCCGCTGTAGGAATCATGAGATGTAGCCCGCCGCCACCCCCCCCGCGGGAGAAGAAAAGAAAAACACAGACAAATGGAGTATTCTTTGTGTATGTTCCACCGGGACTCTTGCTTTGAACGTACCGGCTTTGTTCGTCTTTAGTATGAGTTGGCTCTCACTTTCTGTATATTCAGGCCAATTAATCCTTCGCACCGGTGTGACGGGAGGGGGGGGGGGGTCGCGTGTGTAGGGCAGCAGTCTGCTCTGCACGCAGGCTTCCTCCAAGTTTACAGTAAAACAAACTGGTGGTGTGACCAATGGCCATTTACAATTATTAATACTATTACTATTATTAGCATTAGTCTATATTTTGGTTGAAACTAAGCCAGGAAAAAAAACAAAAACATAAATAATAATAAAAAAATATATAAATAAAATCGAATTTTAAAAATAATTTTCGATTATGGAGACTGTAACGAATATTCGAATAATCGAATAATCGCTGGCATCCCTAGTATGTATAACATCTGAAGATATTTAGTTTTATTCATGATTTTACATAATTTTACAGGATATTGCTATACTATTTCTATAATTTGCTTAAGATATAACTCTTAAAAATATAAGTAACAAAAAGATAAAACACTGGCATGTAATTTACGACCGGACAAAAAGACATGGTGCAGGCACGAAAAATTACACTACCAATAGAAATACATTGCTCGTGTGACACGAAAAAAAGGGGAAAATCGTGTTGGTGAACACGAATCAATAGATTAAATGTCGTGGCTATAACACGAAATGCTGTGAGACTGGGTTGGTCCAAGAGTGTTATTGTACATTTAATATCCAAAAAGACCTCTAGCCTGCTTTCTATTTCATGATTTGGTTATGATGAAGTTAAGATTCAATTTAAATGTTATCCAGCATCGGTTTAAAGGTGTTTTTGTTATTTCACAGATGCCTACTGTTTGCCTGGAACGTTAGCTTTGTCTAC